AATCACCATGAGCAGATGCATGTACGCTTAGCGTACCTATTTTTTACATTTGTGGCTACGAAACTGGCGTCCCCAATTTTAAGGAAATTTGGGATGCCTTTTTCACTGTTTAGTGCTTGAAATATTTGCTAAAATTGACTGGGAATACTTAGAGATTTCATCGTAGAATGGCGTAGTTATATTCATTTGCTCTTTGACTAAAATGTTTAGCTGTATTAATGCTAAACATGCCGTTTTTGAGAATTTGGTTTGCAACTAGGTTTCAACATCCAATCACGCCATCAGCCCATTGAAAACATTAGATCACGTCAGCTAGTTTCCTATCCATTTATTTTATTGTCCATGCTAATCACACATAACAAATTAAAAAAAGTACAAATGGTGGTCTAAAATGAATAATGAACAGCTATATGAAAGAGTGTTTCAAGCTACTAATAGTTAGGATAAAGAACTGATAGTGTCATTAGTGCATGGTTTGCCAATAATGTTTTCATATTAATTGTTCTGACAATGTACAGATGGCAACAAGTAAAATGCAGCGAAAAATAATTTTCTTATTTTCTGAACGTGATATACGTATTATTTACGCCTGTATTATAGAAACTCCCTCACACTCAATAAGTGCAACTCAACATTCACTGAGTTTCCACTCATCCTCACTGAGTATGAGATCTATGCTCCCTCTCCAACCATTCAATGACAGTAGTCCCCTCAATTTGGGGGCTGCTTATGAGTGAAACTTGCATGAGTAAACGATATACGTCCCTTGAGCCTCACTCTTGTGCTTAGGGATGCAAACATTGATTGGTGCACGTAACATGACAAGAGGAGAAGGTAGGTGGCTAAACAGATTACAATACAGGGTGTACCAAAAAAAAACCCGCAAAACCATTGAAATAACGTATTGTTAAAATTTGAATCCCTAGCACTAGTGCTGAGGCATTCAAATTCTATTAAACAATACGATATTTCAATAGTTTTTGGGACACCGTGTATTTGAATAATGTTCCACCAAAAGGCAGGAATGAACAAATATTAAATTTTACTTATCCTGACAGCTATGTCGAGGAGCAATTCCGAACCAGATGCATGTGTTAACGGAGATGGTTTTCGTCATCTACCTCATGGACATGCATAATCGGGCGAAATAAATTAATGAACGTGCATATCCCATGCAACTCGGACAAGTTGCACTCGAGTGAGCTCGATTGGCCGCTGGCCTAGAAATAATTCTTGATCTCAACTCTGTGGCCGTTGGATGTTGAAACCTAGTTGCAAACCAAATTCTTAAAAACGGCATGTTTAGCGGCAATAATATACAGCTAAACATTTAGTTAAAAAATATATATAACTACGCCATTCTACGATGAAATCTCTAAGTATTCCCAGTCAATTTTACTTTTTAGCAGGCACGGATTCTGGAGTGCGCAACCCCCCTCCCAGAAATGATTTGCACCTCCCCCCAAAGGCATTTGGCACCCCCGCAAATTACATATATTTTGATTTGATAATTTCATATTTGATTATTCTTACTACTAAATTTGTAAAATTACCAATATTATGGTCTCAGATCTCGCCATGCAGGCCTAGAAAACAAATTTTGTTAAAGTTTTTTCCTTGGTCTTTCCGGGTGTTGCCACCACGCCCCGGCCAAAGCAAGCAGCAGCACACCCCCCCCCAGATATTTATCCACCCCCCACCCCCGAACGAAAATATGAAAATACGTTTCTGCTTTTTAGCAAATATTTTAAGCACTAAACAGTGAAAAGTCCATGGCAAATTTCTTTAAATTTGGCGACGCCAATTTTGTAGCTACAAATGTAAAAAAGTACAAAACAAAGACGAAAAACATTTACCTTGAATACTTTGTCGTGGCTTAGACGTGTTTTTAAAACAATCAGACCGGTTAATGCTTCAATATTACTCTTTTAAAGCGGAAAATATAGCGAAACAATAAAAATGCTGAGATTGCAACTAGGTTTAGACACTGACGTCAGGAAGATTCCTATCCAGTTATTTTACAATCCATGATATTACTAATAGGTTTGATATTAAGTTACGCTGATTGACTGATGTCTGTAGGATAAAAGAAAAACAATATATAGGAGTCAAGGGGTGGTGCAAGGGCAGAGGCAGGAGAGAGTTTGTATATGTATGGTTGATATGAAATATTCAAAACTTTCAAACACCTTGAATGTAGGCTACTCATTCACTTGTATACCGAACCGAAAATTCAACTTCTGAGATAGGTTAGGTTACGTTACGTTACGTTACGTGAACCTCGTTCCAATTCAATCATTTAAATTGGTAGAGAACTGAATTCATCCATATATAATTATGACCATGCACTTACATCTTGCCAAATAGTTCATCCACCCTGGAGCATGTAAACAGGCCCTAAATTCGACATAATGACAATTTACTGATGATTTAATCTCTTTTCACATCTTCGGCGAATACTACAGCATTTGCTGATGATATTTTGAACAACGCGATTTTAATTACTGCATTTCAGTGGGGCCAAATGTTACATTAAGTTGTTCCAGTTCTATCACATTATATGAAGATGATAACTTTACATGTGTATGTAGAGGTGAAGGTGGAAACCCTCCAGCCAATGTAATGTGGTATAAAGATGGCGTCCAGATTGGTGGAACAGGAATAGAAGAACAAGCATTAACTCTCAGTAATGTTAATGGAACAGACAGTGGAACATACAAGTGTATGGCCCAAAGTCATATCAATGCAACGGATGAAAAATCAATCGAAATAAAACTTGTTAGTAAGTATAATATTGATGCTCAACCATTAGACATTGTTCCAGATGAATTGTGCTTAACAAGCATTGTAACGACTCGTGCACCCACTCAAGTTTCAAACTGATGGCTATAGCTAAATGAATCAACGATGATGCGTTTGCATGATCACTGTACATTTAATTTATTTCAGTTACGTCAACTGTGACATTGAGTTGTTCCAGTTCTATCACAGTGAATGAAGGTGATGACTTCACATGTGTATGTAGAGGTGAAGGTGGAAACCCTCCAGCCAATGTAATGTGGTATAAAGATGGCGTCCAGATTGGTGGAACAGGAATAGAAGAACAAACATTAACTCTTAGTAATATTGATGCGGGAACAGACAGTGGAACCTACAAGTGTGAAGCGCGAAGGTCCTCTCTAACAAATGCAAATTCAATCGAAGTAAAAATAAGACTTAATTGTAAGTATTAGATATAATTACGCATTACTTATACAATCTCCGTTTTGATTGGCTGCTGACCTAGAAATAATTCTTGATATTCAGTGTAATTATGACATCACAGCTGCAGATAATATAGATTTCTACATACTCAGGTGAATATAATGTGTTTTTTATGTTACTCTGAGTGTATATCCACACCGGGCAGGCTGAAAAGTTAGCCTGACCACGGTGGGAATCGAACCCCGACCTTTGGGATACTAGTCCAAATAACATCAAACACACACAAAAATATCTAGAACACATTGGTATCGAAGGTACTAGACTTAGTTGCGAAGTACCATACACTCTAACAGTCTTGGCCTCGTAGCTCAGTTGGCAGAGCATTGGACTAATATCCCAAACGTCGCAAGTTCGATTCCCACCGTGGTCAGACTAACTTTTCAGCCTGCCCGGTGTGGATATACACTCAGAGTAACATAAAAAAAACATAATCTATTTTCCTTAAGCTTGTAAGAAAGTGAATTGTGAGAGCAGTGGAACCTGGAGCTGGAGTGGAACCGTGGTAGTATGGCATATTGTGGTATCTTCGGTGTCTGGCATTATTCTTGGCATTCTGGTTTCCTGCATTGTCTACTGTTGTTGTTGTTGTTGTTGTTGCTTCAGAAACAGACGACATAAAACAAAACCTGAACCAATGAAAACTTAAGCTGGTAGGCCTACAACTTATCAAGAGCTTGATCTTTTGACTTTGAATGCACAAGATAATTATCAATCGTTGTGTGTGAATGCTGCAAGCAATGATGCTGCTTATGACGTTGAGCAAAACCAGAGATGAGGGGAACGACTATCAATCTTTATTCTTTAATTAACTTAATTTCCGATTATTATGTAGGCTACTAGTTAAAACATGAGCAGTCGATCTTGATCTGATATACTGTTAAGTTATGCTCATAATACTTCATATAACAATAATGTAATTAGTTGTGATTTTAGTTCAGTTAACCAATGATATGATTAAGACAATTAACACAATATATTTCCTGTAATACCATATATAGCATGATCATGATTAACAATTATTCTGACCAATTGTAATTTAGCACATTGTAACATAAAACGCACTTGATGTAAAATAAAACTTAGTTCTTGTATGCTTCCACAGAGCGTGTATCTCTTGTAATAAAGAATGACAATTATATAATAATGACAACTACAACGAACTCAACATATACAATTAAACTGATCTGAAAAATTAAAAAACGACCCATCTTATAATTTCATTGGCGAAGTAATTTTAAAAATAAACATTGTCTAAGCCGAGAAAATCGAAGCTGAAGTTTATGTAAATCAGGACAAATCTTTATCCGGTTTACAAACATCGATTAAACAATCATTTCTTTTGTATTTTCCTCATGATTTTTTTAAGTATACTATTTAAAATATGAGCGACAAATCTGTATATGCGTATAGATCTGTCGCGAATATTTTAACGTGCTTGTGAAATGAATAAACGAAGCTTAATGAGTATTTGCTTTGTTCCTTTCGGCATTTTTGTGCTCAGGTATTCAGTCGTTAAGTATCACGGGAGAGAAACCACACAATACAGGGTTGAAAATGCATAAATTTTAGATTTTAAGCTTTCAGTCTGGGTTGGTAGGTTGCTGAATAAATAAGCCAAACATTGTTATAAACGGCCCTTTGATGTCTTTGTTTTGAACAAAGGAAACAAAGGTTATGATAATAATATTTGGCTTGTTTATTCAGCAACTTACCAACCCTGCTTTCAGTCTAGTTCACGGGTTCGTAGCGATAGCCTCATGTAGAGTATTGTGATTACAACATTTGCAACAACTTGATTTATCGAAGAGTGTCTTGTCGTTTTCGTGAGCCGAAGACGTTAGATGAGAAAAGTTTGTTTGTCGAAGAATCAGTGCCAAAAATACGCGATATAACACAAAGTGGGCAAAACGATGGCAAAACAATCGGCTTGACAAAACAGCGTGTGTGGATGTCGCATATATCTGATGAACATGATTCGCAACAGATCGAAGATTTAACAGTACCCCTAGCAGAAATGTCGGTGCCTAGCCTTGCTCATTGGCTCAGCAAGTTTGCTTGCGAAGCGGCAAACGTTATCCTCCTAAAAGTGTGTATTTGATTATGTGCGGCTTAAATCATTATTTAGCTGATATTAAAGGAGGGGAAGGATTTAATAGTTTGGATAAACGTGACAGCAGGTACACACTTTAATACAATTTTTACTTTATTATGCAATTTCCTGCTAATCTAGTGGGTAATTTAGTACCACCATGCATTACAGCGCGCTGAGTTGCTCAAGCTTCAAAGAGAGCAGCCAAAGCAAAAATCACAGAAGAAGAAAAGGCGAAATTATAGGATATGATATTGCTCGGAAAGAGAATATTATTATTTTTGATGAAAGTTGCTGTAAGACCTATCGAGGGGGCTTAGATGATTTGAAAAATAAGCCACGGTACATCGAACACGAGTGCCATGCCATGGGAGAAGTTCATACCCCTTGTCTAGCAAGTATTTATCACCTTTACATTGATAAAGTTAGGAAGCTTGCTGGAAACTATTGAGAGCTTTTATTTTCGACCTAATAGGTCGGGGTTGTTTGAGAATGAAGAGGTTCCAATTGGTATATGCTCGCTAAGTAAAATTTTACCATTGAAGTTGTGTGAGAAAGCAGGGTTGCCGCGCAGGACGACACACTAGTGAGCTTAAGCATGTAGGACGGCAACACGAGGACGGCGGCAACCAATACAATGAGTCAATGAAAAGAAATAATTAAAGTCCCAGGAGAGTTTCAGACGTAGTTGTCACTCTGTTTACATCGGCAAATCACAGATTTTCACGCCTTTTTATACAACGACTGCATTTCAATCCGTAACAAGTGCAACTTAAAATTCGGTCAGTAGAACTCTTCCCAAACATAAAGCCAATGTTTTCAACTTCTTATACTGTATTAAATTCATACGAATTATAATATACGACAAGTTTTATTTACTATCATTTATTTGGAGGAATTTGTTTTGGCCGTCGTCGTCGTGTTGCATTTAGATAGCTTATAAGATGCGGTAAAGTCCGTTCTGCGCATATATTCTGCGCATCAAAAAAATCCATCAGTGGGGGAGTATGACGTCATATTTCCACCAAAATTCAAGTTTTCTATTTGTGATCCTAGTTTGTGTATTTTGTTCCAGGGTTTTTTTTTAACGTGCAGTTCTACACAAAATGTGCAGTTCTAAATCAATTTGTGCAACTCTAAAAAAAAATTTGTGCAGTTGAAAAAATACGAACTTTCATGATATGGATATTTGTTCTGGAATCATTAGGTTAAAGTAATAGAATCAAAATATAAATGGAATGAATACAGCTTCAATAACAAAAGCAGTATATGTATCAGAATATTTATTTCAGTTTTCTTATAGCAAATTTAAACTAGTTCCTCTTCACAATCTGCCAACTTCTCTTCGAGTTTCGCAGCTTCCGATAATATTCCCTTGAAATATTGTTGTTGTTTTCTTTTTGGACAATCTCGGGCGCGATGCGCTCTTTCATTCATCCAACTCATCACTGCTGGTTTAGGATCCCACTGATCCAACGACGGCATGTTATAATGCACATACAAATTGAGGTTTTCGGTTTCAAGGAGCATTCGACTACGACCAGAAGACTTCAGTGCCACACTGCAGCTGATCAGACGTTCTACATCTGCGCTATGTGGCTTGGCTGCAAGAATCCTTGCAAATGCAACTTTGAGGTTAGGCAGCTCTTCGGACTGGACAAACCTTTGGAATCGTTCCCTAAGTGATAGCTTTCTGAAATGCTCTATATCTTCCATGCTAAGAACATCATCATAT